TTTTGCTATATATTAATGCCATTGAATTGAATACAGTCTGTGGTCTCCGCGTCTTCAGAACCCGACACAATCAAAATGTCCACAAATATTGAGTCCAACTCTTTGTCCAAACGAAGACATATTATTGGCATTGAATCCAAAGTCATCGGAAAGAAGAATACTTTAATCAGACTTTTAGAAAATGGAGGCACTGTTGAGGAAGAGGTCATTGATAACAACAACTGTTGTATTAGTGATGAAGATTTGCTACGTTTGGGTGATATTGGACTTCAGGTATGAGTTATTTATAAATTATAATAATTTTATTAATTAATTAATATTAAATTTTAGATTCATAAACATTACGGAAACGCAAGAGATATAGAATGGGGTCTAAAAGGGGGCCAAATATTTATGCTTCAGTCGAGACCCGTAACTAATTTAGACAATTCTTACACCGATTACGAGATTATGCATGAATTGGATACGGCACATCCTACCGAGTTTGAAATTTACTCTCGATCCCATTGGGGTGAGAACTTTCCCGGAGCCTCGTCTTGGATCTGTTTGCAGTGGTTTTGGGCCAATAAAAACGATTTTATTGTAAATGAATTGCTGAAAATAGTTATAAATTACTAATATTTATCCATTTATAGCGTCAGGGAATTGCTTTTGGAATGAATATTGAAGAGGATTACAATCCCTTTATGGAAAAAATGGCCATTCAGTACAATCAAGTGATGTGGAATATGAGCGGTGTATGCATTTTATCATGTTCATTATGCTTGAAATTATTGTTAACATTTTTCTTGTTGTGATCAGGGTGTTTTTGCTGACTTTTTTGCAGATTACCCGGAGTCAAAACAGACTCAAGCGGTTGTATTAGCCATGTTTGGCCATCACATCGACGACAAGGATGTCCTCCAGATGTTCAAACAGAAGAGATTGGACAGAAAAAATCCAACATTTCGGGGGAAAATCAATAGATTATACGATTTAATACATTCCCTACTCTTTGGACCGAAAAACTTGATTAAAACAAAAGAGGAGACAATTGAGAAGAATCGGTACGATTTGGTCGACATTTTGAAACAAAAATCTAACAGTAAAGACATATTCAATACAATTTTGGACAATCGGTTTTTTATATATAACACTGCTTTGAAAAATCACGGCCCGTGCTCTATGGGCTCTTCAATGAAAGGTGGCATTTTGAAAGCTGTTCTCGCGAGCGGTTCCGGTCAGTAATTAATTGCATTTAACAATCTTGATAATTATTTTAATAAAGCCTATGATTTGGTTATAGATAATAGCGATAATATAGAATCGGATTATAATCTAATGATATCTTCGGCAACAAATGTGATCAGCGCTGAAGTGCCCAATATTTTACGTGAAATCGCAAAGTCTATTAAAGACAAGCAATGGTTCCGACAATTGAGTGATGAGGAGGCGCTTCAAGTGTTGACCACTGGAAGCGATGAGTCCTCACAAAAGTTTAGATACTTTATTGAAAGACACGGACACAGAGGGTATCGGGAATTGGATCCCATGTATAAGCCATGGAAAGGCAATCCATTGCCTTGTATTAAAACTATTAAAGTATTTATAATTATATTTGTTATTTTTGTTATTAATTTACTTTTTTGTTATTAGTTTGTTATTAATTTTTGCTGTAATTATAGACAATATTGTCAGGAAATGAATCACAATTTGAGGCAAAAATTGAAAAGTCTGTCGAAGAAGTTGTCAACGGATTAAAGACATCATTGAGTTTTTTAAAGAAATTATTGATAAAACATGTATTACTTCCGTGGGCTCGAAGAGGGATTGGATATCGAGAGCTCTCCAAATATTTCATGATTTGGATGAATAACAAATGTAATGAAGGTTTTTGGTATTTGGCTCAACAAATGACTAATGAAGGACTCATACCATCGGTGGACACATTTTTCTATTTGACTATCACTGAAGTGGAAGCGCTATGTAATGGACAAAGAGATCCATTGATATTCTCGAGAGTAAGACAACGGCGAAGACTTTACCCTCGAATGGATAAATACAAGTTCGAGGAGTTTATTAAAGGACCCGAAATGAAACCCAGAAATGTACGCAAATTATAAACATTTTTTAATTATAAGTTTTAATTGATTTACTCTTTTCATAGTTTGAGGACCGGATTATACTACCAGTCCTGACCTCAGGTATGGTTCAAATGACGGGAACACCAGTTAGTAATGGATCCGTAAAAGCGAGAGTTTGTGTGTCTGAAGACATTACAGAAGCCGATAATATTCAGGTAATCATTATTATAATTAATATTAATTATAAAATGTGTTACAACATGTGTTTCTGTGTGTTGATAGCCGGGAGATATTCTGATCACGTACTCGACGGACATCGGTTGGAGTCCATACTTCCCATTACTTTCGGGTATAATCACAGAAATCGGTGGAACGATATCTCACGGGGCAGTCATTGCCCGCGAATACGGGATCCCGAGTCTGATAGCAGTGGAGGGCGCGTGTCGTGCCTTCAGGACCGGCGATATCTGTCTATTGGACACTAAGACACAGACCATCACTAAAGTCGAGTAAATTGATTATAACATTTAAACTTTAAATTTTAAAGCTTTATACTGTTATACGATTCTATTTGCCATTTGTATAAAAATGAATTATTTAACACTCATGTAAAATATTATACTCACATAATAAATAAAGAATTATTAATATACAAGAACATAGTTATTGATTATTAATTGTTGTTTTAATTTAAATCAAACTATTTGTTCTCAATTACCCTCGTTTTCTTACATAAACTGCATCATACAAACTGTTGAATGAGACCATTTTAAATAACATAAGGGTAGACATGAAATAAATGTATTATTTGCATAATGCAAATGATTAATCTTCGATAATGTTTATTTCTGAAAAATTATATCTGTTTTAATAATGTATGAAATAACAATTGTGTATTAATCTGGTTAAATTTTTATTATTATTTTAGGACATTTTTATCAGATAAAGCTATTCATAAAAATGTAAGTATATTTCATAATTATTATTATAATTTATAAATATAATACTTATCAGTTTAGCTTCGGTGATAAAAAAAAGTATTTTATTGATATATTAAAACAGTTAATAGTATTGTAAAAATATTGTTAGCATAACTGATCGACTGAACATTGCATAATTCCGGCCCTGTTTAGTGCAAAACTATACAAATGCTTGTGATTTCTATTGACAGTACATTAATACAACTGTACTTTATAGCAGATATAGTCTGTACTTTCAATAAGAAAATGATCGCACTTTTAACTGTAATAACATATCGATATTCACTCGATGTACTCAATATGTTTAAAAATTATGTGCCGGTATAAAATATTGAAGCACACGTTACAATATTTGCATAATAGAGTTAGATTAAATATTTATTTTTAGTAATAATTTGTACCGGATTATATATTTACCGGATGTAACATTGTAGAAATAATGAATAAATTAATGTATAGTAACTATATTTACCATATTATAAATTTAAATCAAATGCAATAAATTTTTGCATGTGAAGAAATTTCTATACAAAGTACAATTTAATAATACCTAGGCTAATTGCTTTAAAAACAATAATTTAATTGTGATTAAGTTTGACATATAATACTTTCAAAAAAAAATCCTTGAGTTTTAGTACAACTCCTCCTACAAAAAACTGATTCCCAGACAAGACTTGTGATACAAAGCACACGATTTGACGGACATTTAAGCACACATTTGATGATTTCAATTGCTTTGATATACAAAATATGTGCCAATAATTGCTTTAATAAAAGTTAATAACAATTTATGATCTGTTGTATAAATCTAATGATTGCTTTGAAGAGAACGTCAGAATGCTTTTAGATATCAGTAAAAACTGACGAATAGTTTTTTAATTATTTCCAACTTAAATATAGTATAAATATCACAATATTTTTCATTCATTTCTTTTAATTAACTTTTTTAGTGATTATTAGCTAATTAGAGCTATAATGGGTCTCTTAGTCTCAATACCAGTGATTACAATATATTTTAATAAATTATTGTCACTAAACCGTGAGATCAATGGCCAGTGGTTTACATATTTGACTCAATTCTGGAAATTATGGTCAAAAAGAAGACAACAAAAGACAAACCGAATGATAAAACATGACGTTTGGAAGAATAACTCGACTGATTCGGGGATTATTCCTTTCCCTGAAGAGTGGGAATATGAGTTACCACAACAGGTATTGCAATGAATTTATTAAAAATTTAATAAAACTTTGTAGGTTTAAAAATATTTCTAAAAATTTTAATATACAATTTATACAAACAACGCAAGCAATTAACTAAAATTTGTTAATTCATATACAGTAAATGTAAATAATTAAAAATAACGTTAATATTTTCTAAAGTAAAATAAAACAAATATATTTAAAAAAAACTTAATTTTTGTTAAGTGTAATAAATTAATGTAAATGTTTAAGCGTATAAATGAAAAATATGATAAAATAATTAAATAATAGATATAAGTTAGAAATTAACATGTATATAAAAATTTTACAATAAAATAATTATATGTATTAATAGACAAAACCCGAAGATGTGTTGATATATGGCGTGAATTCATCGAAACAAAGCATTTATATTGCAATCAAATGGAGACCAAAAGGAGTGAACGATAAGATCAATGCAACCATTAGTTTGAGATTTGATGACAACAACAGTAATAGCTATACATTAGAGGAGGACTCGGAGGTCGAGTACCGGAGCAATGAATACAGAGTGTGTGGACTCGGCTTAGAGATTATGTCACCCTTTAGAAGGAAACGCATTAAGTTTAGGGGATATCTCACGAAGAATGACAACCAATTAGTTTATGTGAGGTTTAGATTCTTGTGGTATTCAGTGTCAAGAGTTGCAGATTTTACCCATGATTTCAACGATCACTTTATGGCCAAAGAAATGATGAGATCCAAGAATAGAGACAATAAAATTGTAAATCAATTAGAAGACCGTTTCGAACAATTCGGACAAATGAAAGGCAATTTCAAAGAAGATATGGAAGAAGAGAAACAATTATACTTTTGGGGATCTATTAGTAAAAAGTATTTCAAAACTAAACAAACGAATAGAAATATAAAGCGATTATTTGGATATACAAAAGAGGGTAACAATTGATAAATACAATTATTAATTGCTATTAAATAATTAATCAAATTTTATAGGAATTGGTTTTCATTTGGGATTTGTATCCAATAATAATGGATATGAATATCGGTTTGGATTCCTATTCCACAAAAGGGGACGTCTTTTAAAACTCACAGATTTATCGCTTAATAAACAAAACTTCGAGGAATTAAATGATAAAAAATTAATTCATTTTAAGGCAAAGTTTGATAAAAATGATTATAATTTTATTATCGAAATCAATGAAAATAGTTTTGCAAAAAGACTTTTAATCAATGAATTCGAGGGAATGTGTTATATATTAGACGAAAATGAGACACAAATACAGGAATGCATTAAAAGCTGTAAATCCCTAAGTTTACTAAACAGTGAACAAAACCCTAAGTTACTTAACTTACGTTTTGCGCAACTGAATTCACCTCCATTTCCTTCAAGAAATCGCCAAGAGTTCTCAAACTCACTTCTAAACCAATTTCTCTTCATCGAAAACACATTCAATGTTCCGAATGGTGTTATTGTGACCACAAATGCTTATCAAAGACTTCTTCGGGAACACAACGATGTGTTGAAAGGCATTCAAGAGTTGGAAAAGTCGACTGAATTGTCGACAAAGGAATTGAAGACTAAATGCAAGAATTTAATGGATTTGATATCAAGTCGTGAATTACCTGAAGATATAAAACAAGAAATAAAAGTAAAATTAAGTGAGAATTTCAGTGATTATGAGAAGAGATTATTTGCCGTCAGATCTTCGGGCGCTTCGGAGGACTCGGAAGAGATGTCAGCCGCCGGACAAATGACCACATATTTAGGAGTCAAAGGTATTTATATATACATTAAAATGAATGGTATCTATAACTGTGTTATAAAACCTTAGGATTGGATGAGATGTACTCATCAGTGATGAAGTGCTGGTCTTCACAGTTCTCTCACATCGCATACGAGTATAAGAGAGGTTACGG